CCTGCTGCACCACAGCGCTCTTTTTGTGCCTCCAAAAAGGGCTGGAAAACTTGCCCTCCAGTTGCAATCGGAGACTTACCCTGGTTGATGGAAGTCCCAGGGAGGTGGGCGTTCAAGTTGGGCTTGTAAGACATTCCTAGAGACATTGTAAATTCAAGAAATAAAAATGTCCTGACATTCAGTGGAGCGTCTCTGTGTCTCTCAGACACTTTGGGTTGTTTACAGCGGTAGCAGCACCGGCAAATATGGCCGTCACTTATATTGACACCCACAATGCAATATATCATCCATACATCATTAGGAGACATGAATCCAAAAACTTTAGGGGAGAAAAGGAATTCACATGCCTCACAGCTACACCCAAAGCACTTTAGATTTTTTTTTTTTGGAGGGGGGTAATTTTTTTATTTTATTTTATTTTACAAAGCAAACAATAGAGCTCTTTTAAAAAAACATTGTTTTTTAAATTAACTTCAGAAACTTTTGGCAGAACTTTTGGGGTGAAGGCTTAACATGTAACTTGTTAAAAAGGGTGAGCTGGGGTTTGAGGAAATGTTTCCTGAGCAATATTAAAAGGAGAAAAAAGGTTGAGTTTGTGGTGTTAGAGTGGCTTTGATGGTTTTTGTGGGAGATGAGACAATAATCTGTATTTTTTAAAATATATATAATTTTTCCAATTAATTTTAATGATGAAAAATGTCTGCTAATAAATTTTTAAGCATTTTTCTCTCAATTTTCTATGTACATTTTCAAAGGGAAAAAGGTGTTTTTTTCAAAATTATTTTATATACTATATACATTTTTGTCTGACCACCAGACCAGAGGTTGAAGGTCAATATAGACTGCAATATAGCAATGAGAGTTGTAGTGAAAATAAAAATAATTTATAATGAACTGGTTTTCTGATTGCAAAGACATGGTAATGAAAAATAATTTTCCTCACAGATTTAGAATGCTAAGTTTTAAAAATAAAATTTAAAAAGTCTTAGAGATCTCTGACCCCAATACTCATTCCAACAATGGATCAATTTAATTGCAACAGAGTTATCCTCCAATTAACCCACAATAGGCCTATGGCATATTCAGTTAAAGTTATTCTAGATTTACATGAGTGTAACTGATCAGAATCAGTCTTCCTACCCCTTCTAGTGGGTTCTATAATTAAACACCATGCTGGAATTTTCACATTACATGGCATTTCCATTGTAAGAGTGTTACTCTGAGAAAGCTGTGACAGTTACAATTTCTACTATTATTTTGCAACCAAATGGAGCCCAATCCTGGCTCCATTTAATGACCACCTTTCCATTGACTTACATGGTACAGAATTAGGGCTAGAGCAGTTTTCATTTCATTAGTGGCTTTACAAAAGAAGGTAGGCTTGATTCCAATTTTACAGGTGCAGAAACTGAGTTGCCTGAGGTTGAGGTTAAATAATTTGTGTATGGTGATACAACAGCCACTACAACTCAAGTATCTACACACCACTTCCCTGTTCTACCCATGAAACACTTCATCAGAGCCCTTATAGGAACAATCATGGCTGAAGCCTGTGAAATAAATTAACTTGGTGTCCTGCAGTTTCATTTTCAACTCCAAATATGTAACAAGTTACTTACAGCAGTGAAGTCCAGAGTCGCTAAGGTTATTGCTTAAACATCTAGGCTGCATCTAGATTGGCATGAGTTTTCCGGAAATGCTTTTAACTGAAAAGTTTTCCATTAAAAGCATTTTCGGAACAGAGCATCTAGATTGGCACAGACGCTTTTCCACAAAAGCACTTTTTGCGGGAAAGTGTCCGTTCCAATCTAGACGCGCTTTTCCGCAAAAAAGCTCTGATCACCATTTTCGCGATTGGGGCTTTTTTGCGGAAAACAAATCTGAGCTGTCTATACTGGCCCTTTTGCGCAAAAGCTTTGTGCAAAAGGGACTTTGGCCTGATCGGGAGCAGAATAGTATTTCCACAAGAAGCACTGATTTCTTACAGTAGGAAGTCAGTGCTTTTGTGGAAATTCAAGCTGCCAGTTTAGACAGCTGGCAAGTTTTTCCGGAAAAGCGGCTGATTTTCCGGAAAAACTGGCCAGTCTAGACATAGCCGTAATGCGCGCTGTACTTCATTAACACCAGGCCTGAAAGCTTAAGGCATAAAGTTAGATGCTTTTTATCCCATATTTTCAAAATGGCATCTAAAGGGTGGCTGTGCAATTTTCAAACTCAACAGGAGTCATGCGGCTAACCCCCCCCCCTCCAGCACTTTCCAAATTGATGCCTGATGATTCCTGAACCTTTGTTGCAGGGTTTGCACATCACTGTTTACACTGATCCCTCAAATGCTTGTAAACCCTTGCAGAACACATCATTCTTGACCTAATTTTTATGGTCCCGATTCTCCATTACCCTGACCTTCTGCAGTCATTTATACATCTATAAAGTAAATATAGAATGGAACCTTTCTGAGTTACTAGTATTCTAGTGTAAACAAATGCATGTGATGCAGGGCCTCAGAGAATTTACTTGGGACTCACATTGACAGCTTAAAAACATACAATGTTCCTATAAGAAATGTCTTTAAAATAGTGAAGACCCTATAAAATCATCTCTCTTTAAATTACAATAATACAAGGTGTAGAGGGACCCATCTATATTCCCCCCCCCCTTTTTTTTTCCTTTCTCCACCAATAGGAAGTTTTCAATAATTTAGGGCCAGATTCTCCATCATGGACATCTCTGCAGAGTGGGTGTCTGTTGCCACTCTGCCAGAAAAGTAGGATTTTACATCCACTCTTCAATTCTCCTGCTGAGCTGTGACAACACAATGTGCTAGACCACAGAAAATCACACCCTTATCTTTTGGCACCTGTAAGACCTGTCCAGTTTAATTGGCTTGACTGGTTATATTTGTTCCCAGTTTTCACTCTGGGTAGGCCCCAGAGAAATTGGCATGGGTACAACATGACCAAAAGTGTTTCCCATCTCCCTAATGGTGTGCAGTCAATGTACAATTAGTGGTCTCTTTTCACACATTTGTGGCTGTAACAAAAAATAACCATCCCAGCTGGCACTATAATCTGCTTTGTTGGCAATTTTAGCAATGAGGCCAGAGATGAATTCTCTCAGAGATATTGCCTTTAGGCCAGGCAGGGTCATGGCATGGACCCACATCCTACAGACAGAAAACATCATTTCCATTGTTCTACATTCAGCAGCTATCAAATGCAGTAACCTCTTTTCACAGGACACCCAGTAGAGATAGAAGTTGGGCATCTTCTGTACCAATATCACATCTCTACCCTCTGAGCGGTCTGCTCACTGGTAGCAACAGTGGACTCTTGATCTTTACATAGGTCAGCCACTAGAAGGGGACATATCCTACAGAACCGATGTGTTACATGGTTTGATGTCCTCTCCCCCACACACACTCTGGAGGCAGAGATAACTTACAAAATGTGTATGTTCTTAATTTTTTTTTAATCAAGGAGAAAGGCAATAAGTGGGGCTAGTCTCCACTATTTGACAGATGATGTGGGAAAAGCTAAAGTACTCAATGCTTTTTTTGCCTCTGTCTTCACAGACAAGGTCAGCTCCCAGAGTGCTGCATTAGGCAACACAGTATGGGAAGCAGGTGGGCAGCCCTCAGTGGAGAAAGAACTGGTTAAGGACTATTTAGAAAAGTCAGACATACAGAAATCCATGGGACCTGATTTAATGCATCCAAGGGTGCTGAGGGAGTTGGCAGATGCTATTGCAGAGACATTGGCCATTATCTTTGAAAACTGGTGGACATTAGGGGAGGTCCCAGATTACTAGAAAAAGGCAAATGTAGGGCCCATCTTTAAAAAAAAGGGAAAAAAGACAATCTAGGGAACTACAGACTGGTCAGCCCCACCTCAGTCTCTGGAAAAATCATGGCGGGGAACCTCAAGGAATCCATTTTGAAGCACTTGGAAGAGAGGAAAGTGACCAGGAATAGTCAACATGGATTCACAAAGGGCAAGTCATGCCAGACCAATCTGATTGCCCTTCTATGACAAGATAACTGGCTCTGTGGACATTTGGAAGGCAGTGGAGCTGATACACCTTGACTTTAGCAAAGCTTTTGATACGTCTCCCACAATAGTCTTGCCAGCAAGTTAAGGAAATATGGATTGGATAAATGGACTGTCAGGTGGAGAGAAAGCTGGCTAGATTGTTGGGCCCAATGGGTAGTGATCAACAGCTCGATGTCTGGTTGGTGGTCAGTTTCAAGTGAAGTGCCCCAAGGATTAGTTCTAGGGCCAGTTTTGTTCAATATCTTTATTAATGACCTGAGTGAGGGCATGTCTGCAGATGATAGTAAGCTAGGGGGAGAGGTAGATACGCTGGAGGGCAGGGATAAGGTCCAGAGTAACCTAGACAAATTGGAGGATTGAGCCAAAATAAATCTCATAGGCTGTGTCTAGACTGCATCCCTTTTCTGTAAAAAGGGATGCAAATTATACACATCGCAATTGCAAATGAAGCTGGGATTTAACCCCCCCCGCTTCATTTGCATAAACATGGCTGCCATTTTTTCCCAGATGGATTGCTCCCTCAGCAAGTTTGTGGATGACACTAAGCTAGGGGGAGATGTAGACATTCCTGGATGACAGGGATAGAGTCCAGAGTGACTTAGACAAATTGGAAGACTGGGCCACAACAAATCTGATGAGGTTCAACAAGGACAAATGTAGAGTTCTGTACTTGGGACGGAAGAATCCCAAGCATTGTTACAGGCTGGGGACTGAATGGCTAAGTAGCAGTTCAGCAGAAAATGACCTGGGGATTACAGTGGATGAGAAGATGGATGAGTCAGCAATGTGCCCTAGTAGCCAAGAAGGCTAATGGCACATTAGGGTGCATTAGGAGAAGCATTGCTAGAAGATCTAGAGAAGTGATTATTGAACTTTATTTGGCACTGGTGAGGCCACATCTGGAGTATTGCATCCAGTTCTGCCCCCAACCCCTACAAAAAGGATGTGGACACATTGGAGAGAGTCCAACGAAGGGCAACGAAAATGATTAGGGGCTGGAACACATGACCGACGAGGAGAGGCTGAGGGATTTGGGCTTGTTTAGTCTGCAGAACAGAAGATTGACGGGGGATTTGGTAGCAGCCTTTAATTACCTGAAGGGGGGTTCCAAAGAGGATGGAGAAAGGCTATTCTCAGTGATGACAGATGGCAGAACAAGGAACAATGGTCTCAAATTACAGTGTGGGAGGCCTAGTTGGATATTAAGAAAAAAC